TGAGTAACATGTTCTGGGCTTTGACTTCCACAACTTTGAAAACCACTTAACAACTGAAAACAGCTTTGATTGAGCATTTTCATAACCCCAATTAGCCATGTTTTCTGTTTTTCTGAATTTTGATCAGCTGTTGACACTATTCTGGTGTAAGACATATTTTAATGAGGAATTGTGAATGTAATCTCCTAAAATCCTGCTCCACATCAAATCAGAACTGGCACATTTCTCTGGGTAATTAACACTCACAATCACAAACAGCACAGCTCAGTGGAGAAGATGTGATTTAGAGTTAAAGCTGCACTGTGGAACCCTTTATTTGGGGGGTGGAGGGCACATTATCTGCTTGTCTCCATGGAAACATCACTGCATTGCCTATAATGTTCCACAGTACAGAATTAATCATATGAATATTGTGTGTTTTTCTAGTTTACTTCTGGCTTAGTCCTGGTTTAGACTCAGTTTGGTTCTGGTTTAGTCCAGATTTTTTCTGGGTTAGACCTGGTTTAGTCCTGGTTTAGTCCTGGTTTAAACCTTTATTTTCAAGTTAGACCTGGTTAAGTCTTGGGCAGTGGAAACGCTACTGCAGAGCATATTCATCTTTTCCATTCTGGAGGCTGGTTTCAGATTTTTGTGTTTTTAAGCCACAAAAACGCCGTTACCGTCTAAACGAAAGGCACTTCCAATAAAATATTTTGTCATTTTTACCCACAAGCTTGTGTAAATAGGCCCTTAGATGAATATTGCGATTTAAAATGTCCAGATTATAACATAATGATCCACAGATGTCATAGATTATAACTATACAGCAGACTCAGGCACAGTAGGTGTTCTTTACTTCTTTTATTGGCTTGGTCTTGGTTTAGAGCAGATTTCTGTTGTAACAATAACCAAAATATTGTGATATCGTATCGTCAAATTTCTCACAATAATATTGTCAGCCGTCACAATATATCGACTCACAAGTCTTTGCTTAAATTAAGAGTTATGGTGCAGCGATAGCTAAAAAAAAAGTCAGAGGGAACTACATAGACCAGGGGTGCGCAAACTATATGTGGCCCTTTTGTCTTTTTAATCTGGCCCGCCAAACTTGAATAATAATAATAATAATTTTAAATATATTTTTGTCAATATATATATTTTTTCATTTCAATAAATAGCAAATACCGTGGGACAGATATTTTTTGTAATGCTTTGTAATGATTTTTGACCTTTTAGACCTGGTTTAGACCTGGGTTTAGATGTTTAGACCGTTTAGATTGGTTTTAGACCTGTTTAGACCTGGGTTTAGACCTGGTTTAACCTGGGTTTTAGACCTGGGTTTAGACCTGGTTTAGACCTGGTTTAGACCTGGGTTTTAGACCTGGTTTAGACCTGGTTTAGACCTGATTAGTTTAGACCTGGGTTTAGACCTAGGTTTAGACCTGGTTTAGACCTGGGTTTAGACCTGGTTTAGACCTGGTTTAGACCTGGTTTAGACCTGGTTTAACCTGGGTTTAGACCTGTTTAGACCTGGTTTAGACCTGGTTTAGACCTGGTTTAGACCTGGTTTAGTCCTGGTTTAGACCTGGGTTTAGACCTGGTTTAGACCTGGTTTAGACCTGGGTTTAGACCTGGGTTTAGACCTGGTTTAGACCTGGTTTAGACCTGGTTTAGACCTGGTTTAGACCTGGGTTTAGACCTGGTTTAGACCTGGTTTAGACCTGGTTTAGACCTGGTTTAGACCTGGGTTTAGACCTGGTTTAGACCTGGTTTAGACCTGGTTTAGACCTGGTTTAGACCTTTAGACCTGGGTTTAGACCTGGGTTTAGACCTGGTTTAGACCTGGTTTAGACCTGGTTTCCTGGTTTAGACCTGGGTTTAGACCTGGGTTTAGACCTGGTTTAGACCTGGTTTAGACCTGGGTTTAGACCTGGGTTTAGACCTGGGTTTAGACCTGGTTTAGACCTGGTTTAGACCTGGTTTAGACCTGGTTTAGACCTGGTTTAGACCTGGTTTAGACCTGGGTTTAGACCTGGTTTAGACCTGGTTTAGACCTGGGTTTAGACCTGGTTTAGACCTGGGTTTAGACCTGGGTTTAGACCTGGGTTTAGACCTGGTTTAGACCTGGTTTAGACCTGGTTTAGACCTGGTTTAGACCTGGGTTTAGACCTGGGTTTAGACCTGGTTAGACCTGGGTTTAGACCTGGTTTAGTCCTGGTTTAGACCTGGGTTTAGACCTTGTTTAGATTCCCAGCAATGAGTGGAATTACAGAGAAAAAAAAAATGGGGGGGGGGGGGGGGTATTTAGCCCAAAGTGTGAAAACAGTTACTGAATACAGTTACTCATAATACTACTGGTGGATTACCAAAAAACTCCCATCCATCTGCTCCTGGTCCGGCTCTTCCATCAAATTTTAGAACCCTTTGTGGTCCACGAGTCAAAAAGTTTGCCCTCCCATGACATAGACCATGATCCTTTGCTCCATTTGTGTGCAAACTACAAGAAGAAATAACAGATCTAAGCACTTTTAAGTCTTAGTTCTTTGGATTAAGTCTTGTCAAGGCATTTTAAAAGGAAAAAGTAGCGTCCACAAAATACGGCAATAAATATCGTACCGTGAGATGTATATCGTGAAAATATTGCAGGAATATCGTAAGAGATTTGGATATTGTTGCCTCCCCGCCATATCGTGAGCTTTCCCACGATATTGCAATAAATATCGTATCGTGAGGTTCATACCGTGACAATATCGTATCCTTACACCCCTAGTTTTTCTATATAACGCTGTCTTAAAGTTAAGCTATGTGCACATTTAGGTCTTGTCTACTGAATGCATAACACTAAATATTTTCTGATGTAAAAGGTTTTGAAAATCATTTATGCTTGTTCAGTTTACAACAACAGAAGCAATGAGATGGCGTAGTCCTTTATTCGTCCAGGAGTGGTTCAATAAAAGCAGCAATTGTTCTAAACCGTTTGCGCTCACTCAAAGTCACGCACTGATGCCTGTAACTCTTGTCCTTGTCGGTATAACGTCATCGCATTTCTAAAGTTAAATTAGTCGTATTTCTTTCAGTTACAGGGACAGGCAGTTGAGTGTGTACAAGCTATAATCAAAGACATGGACCGCTCAAAGGAAACGTCAACACCAAGGACACCGTCTCCGCTTTCTCCGCCTGCATCCATTCAATCTTCTTTGTGAGGTTTAATCTTAAGATGCGCTTTAGAGACAAGTTCGTGGATGAAGCGATTCCACAGCAGTGTTCATCGTTTTTCACACACGTTTTCTATAACTTCACTTACCACGTGTATAATATTCTAGAGCTCGTATTAATGGGTAGTGTTTATGATTTTGCAAGACAAAATTTGAATATGTTAAAGGCTCGATGTTACATAAAATTGACTCTTGTGAGCTTCAAGTCGTGTTATAATGTGGTTACCTCCTCAAAAACAGACCTGGAGTTGTGTTTTGTTTCATTCGCACATGTTTGAGTAACCCTCAAAATGCTTTATTCCACCTTGTGATGTCATGTAGTTGTAGTTTTCAAGTTAACAGCTCCTTGTACCTTCTGTTGCATTAGGGCCACACAAATTTGGGAGCGTTAAAGCCGTGTGTTTTTGCTGTGCTCCCAATTTAAAGGCAAAGTTTAATTCTGCGTCACACACTGCCGCTGTCGCCTTGTCGCCATCGTTTTTGATTTATGGATCTGCGTCGAGGTCTATGCGCCGCGAAGTAATTCACTGCCACAACGCTGGGAGGCGAGGATTTAAACCTGGCGTTTGTGTAAAGTTTAACATCTCCAACGCGATAGAAACACAGAGCAGACTCACCATCAGCAGCACATCCTCTGTCACACTCATATTCCACTGAGTCGTGTCCTTTAGTCCGACAGAAGATGAAAGCATCAGGGCACAAGGAACGAGCTGTTTTTTTCCCAGCTCTTACAGTTTATGCAAATTAGCCATGTAGTTTTAAGCTTTGTTTCTGTAAAACAAAAGCAAATATGTGCAAAGCTGCATTAAACACATTATTACTCAGTGTATTTTGAAAGAAAGATAAGCAGAGAACAGGAAATGTCTGTCGAGCGGTGGTAGAGAGGCTCTTATTGTCTGTGTAAATTGGGCAAATCGTTGGTGCAGGACTCTGGTATGATGTAAGTTTCTGTGATGTCTGCAAATGCTCATGCGCAATGAAACTTCGTGGATGAACTCGAAATCGCAATATCTGCCAGGAAAATTGCTATTCAGTTTTTTCTTAAAATTGTTCAGCCTTATGTTGCATAGAGACTGGTAACTCTTGCTGAAACCATCCACACTGTTTTAGTCAAGCTGTATGGAGTTTAACAACAGAGTGTTACCAGTATTACCATATGACATAAATAACAAGGAGTGTTTTCTGTTTGAGAGAAGAACTCAGCCTAAATATGCCAGATTTGTGTGTTTAAATGTGTGATTGAAACACAAAACAATTCCAGGTCTGTTTTTGATGAGGAAACATTATAATAAAATAGTGTAATATGGGCCAATTACCAATTACCCAAACTTACCCTAACATTACCTTATTTTTGAACGGGAAAGAATAAAGTAGGTATTTAATTCTAATCTAACCAGTTCTTAACTTTAACTTTTCATATCTTTAATCACTTCATATTCACATGGATTAATTTCAGGCACATGTACAGTCTGCTAATGCTCAGTCAATCATCCACTTAGCATTTGGCTTCTTGGTTTACGATTGATCAAATAATGAACTACAGAAAACACACAGCCAGGGGAGTCGGCTGAGGGGGACAAATGGGTCTGTTGTCCCAGGCCCAGAATTTATATTAGAGGTTGGTCCATGTGAGTCCCCAAATTTCTGTCGACGAGCCTGAACGCAGCGTCTGATTTTGACACAAACTAAATGTACTCTTAACCCTTTTACGTGGTGCTCATGGTTCTATTTAAAATGTATGCAGGCTTTATTATGTTCTACCCTGTGCCACGAAAACTAACCCAGTATTTTGTCTTTTCTCCTCAGATCTTTAGACCTGACTGGGCCCTTATTTCTCGGCGGCGTTCCCAATGTTCCAGGCAACTTCCCATTCGGATCTCGGGAGTTCATCGGCTGCATGAAGGATCTGCACATCGACAGCAAACCCCTGGACATGGCTAACGTCATCGCTAACAACGGCACAATCGCTGGTCAGTAAGATATAAAGATTTTTTTTACCTGATTTGCAGTGTTGTACCTTATGTGTCATATGTCATATTATGGGCAAACGTGAACTGAATGCACTGCCTGATGAACGAACTGTGAGCGCGTTCATTCTGGTGTCTGTGAACGGCATGTGCTTCTAGTTAACTTCTGTTTGAAGTTAATTTGTATGTATAGTGAGTGTGCTTGTTTTATGTACTTTTTTGTGATTGTTGCTGTACTTTTCCGTGTCCTGTAAATGATTTTACTTCAACCTGCCAAGGGACTGAAGATGGAAATTGGCCACAAAAAATGTTTCAGAAGAAGCGCTTCCTGGACCTCCAGAGGATAATACACAGTAGATCCAACTCAGTGGTGCTCTTTGGGAAGGGAAGTCAGTACAAAGATGCAAAAAAAACCCAAGGCACTCACTGGTTCAAAATAAAATGCCTTTATTAGTTTACGGCATGTCTTAATGGACAAATTAAAAAGTCCCGACGCGTTTCAGCCTATGGCTTTCCTCAGGGGACAAACAGAACTGAGAGCAAATCATGTGAATTAAATACAACAAACCCACCAATAGGGCTGCTCCACCTGGAAGAGGAGGAGTGGAGACTCACCTGTGGACACCACCTAATAACGCCACAAGATGGCAGTGTGAAAAAAGTAGAACATCATAGAGAATATAAAAACGAAATATTTACAAAAAATAAAATAAAATAATAAAATATATACAAAATATACCATGCAGTATAATAAATGCCACGCAGTTATAAAAACACAGAGAAGTCCAAATCTTCATTAAGCCCAGGATATTTTGTTGCCTGCAATTTAAAGATCCAATAAGTTTCACATTGTTTGAGTTTAGCAATCCGGTTTCCTTTTCGTAACGAGTCTGGTATATGGTCAATTCCTTGTATCTGTTCGATGGGTTACTGTCATGAAAGTCCAAAAAGTGTCTGGCCATAGGATAATTGGTATTGGCTGTGCGGATAGCATATTTATGCTCAGCCAAGCGGTCTTGTAGGCGTCTTTTTGTCATCCCTACATAGAATACCTTACAAGTAGGGCAAACAAGTCTGTAAATAACAAAAGTTGTTTTGCAGTTGATAAAATGTTTTATTGTGTATTCTTTTTGTGAATGATAGTCCAGAATTCACATGATTTGCTCTCAGTTCTGTTTGTCCCCTGAGGAAAGCCATAGACTGGACTTTTTAACTTGTCCATTAAGACATGCCGTAAACTAATAAAGGCATTTTATTTTGAACCAGTGAGTGCCTTGGTTTTTTTTGCATCTATGGAAATTGGCCACGCTGGCTTTAATCTTTTCATATTTACTTCTTAAATGTTCATTAATATGTGCTGTTCCTTAAGAAAATAAAAAATAGGGTGCCAGATTTCTTTAGTGTTCCCGGCTAAACACATCGTAAAAAGCCCTTAATATAGGGTGACCATATTTCCGTTTGTGAAAACCCGGACACCTTACCGGGGGTGGGAGGTGGGGCCTCGGCATTGAGCTACTCTCACCTCGCAACCTGTGCACATGGCCTCCCACTTGTCCCGACCGGAATGGAAAACAGAGAATTTATTGTACAAGTCATTGTTCAATGCGCATTTGTGCTTCGGCATGTTGCAGACTGACCGACTGTTTGTGTCTGCTCGCTCCTTCTGAGAGCTACGAGAGACGCGCCATTTAATAACCCTAATGAACGGTAATGAAAACCTGGACTTTTCCATCTCTTTAAAAAAAAAAAAAACTTCCCCGGATGCCCAGGACAGGACGCAAAAAACAGACATGTCCGGGGAAAAACGGACATTTCGTCATCCTACCTTAATATTTAGCAGAAAAACATAAAATCTGGCAACAACATGAGCCACCAGCATCGCATCACCGCATGCGTCATTGAAACAAGACAAAACAAAAAAGAATAACCCACTTTGCCCTCTACTGCGCATGTCTCCTGCAGAAAGAGCCCATGTCCTGTCTGGTATCCAGTCAGTGTCTTGTAGGATTTTAGCAGATTTCAGATTTCCCGGCTTGTTGTAGTTGTAGTTGTAATAATAACTGTAGTAATTATCAATAAACAAATTGAGTTTTTTTTTTCATAATTTTCAGGTTGCAGCGCGAAGACGTCTTTTTGTAAATCCAACCCGTGTCAGAATGGAGGAACCTGCAGAGTGAGCTGGGAGACGTTTTTGTGTGACTGCCCCCTGGGGTTCGGAGGAAAGGACTGCAGTCACGGTAAACGCTCAACTAATTATCGGTTACAAAAGCATAAAGATATTGTATTTATGAATGTTTATGAGTAGACGGAGCACGAACCTACAGTATATATTTGGATATAAGTGGTCTGTTAATTATCATGCGACTGTTTACCATGGCAACCCCAAGATGAAAGGAAGAAACGGTGAACAATGGACTGTAAAGCGCTTTCGGTGTCTTGAAAGACGCTTTATAAATGCAATGATTAAATATTTATGTGAAATGTCAAAATCACTTCATGGTTTTTAATCCGAGAAAAGCTGAATTTTAGCTGTTCAATTTTACCATTTGGATTAAGTTACAGCAGGAACCCGAACTTCAATAAAAAAACTGTCATGGATTAGGGATTAACCTGTCACAGAGCAAATGAGAAAATGTCAGTTTTGAAGCTTTTAACTCCTCCTATTCCAAGACGCTCTACACATATAAATATTTGTATTGTATATTTGTTTGTATATTTTATCTGTATTGGTTATTTTCTTCATACAAACAAATTAAAATCAAATACTTTTTATTAAATTAGATCAACTACCAGCTGACAGAAACAAGTCAACTCCTCTCCTATATGGAACTTAAAGAGCGCCTTAAAGAGTAAAACTTAATTTCTGCTTTTATTTTAGCTTGGCAATAAAATAAAAGCAGAAATTAAGTTTTACTCTTTAAGGCAATATACTTTTATTTTTACTGTGTTCAAAACGTGAGACCTCAGAGTGGATTTTTGCCATGATGATCTTTGCTAATGTCCTGATTGTCATGCAATAAAACGCTTTATACTTAGATGCAGACAGGAAACAGTAGGGCTGAGTATCATTAAGAAGTTGCCGATACAATACATAACTCGATACAGTGCACTTTCAATTCGATACGATATATTTCAAATCGATTTGATACAGTTCAATAAAAAATAAAGGCTAAATCATGGCTGTGACACTGAAAGTCTTTGTTAAATCGCTTCTTGTGCAAAGTTCATATGAAAACGCCCATTTTAATCCTCAAAACAGTAAAAATGTCAAACGTGTCGCATAAACGAGTTTCCTTCCACTGAACAAGTAACAAAACTGTGGCGCTGTAACAAAATAATTTAACAAAATATAGCAAAAAATACTTTTGGCGATATATATCGATGCAGCAGCCCACGATAACTATACTGTATCATCACATTAAACGATACGATATATCAATATTTCGATATTTTTGCACACCTCTAGTAAATAGTGGTCTTACTTTAAGTCAGGAGCTGCTCATACAATATATCTGTTCTGGGGAATGAGGAAACTAAATATAGTATATTTCTTGCCATACAAGTGTGGGAGGTGGAGGTTATGTTGGTAATGGAAAGAACACCTGCTATGATATATAATGTTATGTTCTGCTATTCAGTAATACTAACAGTGACTTTACTTTGTCTTCAGTGATGCCCCACCCTCACCGCTTCCTGGGCCACAGCGCCCTTTGGTGGGACCTGAAAAACGACGTGACCATCTCCACGCCCTGGTACCTGGGGCTGGTGTTCAGGACGAGGGCCAGGGAGGGCACTCTGCTGCAGGCTCAGGCCGGGCAGTACACCAGTCTCATCTTTCAGGTACAACATTGTGTATTAAGTTTACATGACTTTTAAAAAAATACAAATTTCAGGGTTTGAGCCCAGTTTAAGACAAGAACCTTTATAGTGTTTAGTCCTGGTCTAGTTCAGGTTTAGTTTTGGGTTTAATCCCAATGTAGTCCCATTTGTGATGGAGTATGAACATTGCAAAAACGGTTTTCCCCTAAAAACCATACCGTATTTTCCGGGCTATTAGACGCGCTCTTAAACTTCTAACCGCATCAAAAGACGACAGCACACCCCGCAATCCAGCGCACGCAAACACGCACAGAGCAGACAGTGACCGTGCAGCGAAACACACCCGCAGACACACTCATCACTCCACGCCGACGAGGAACGGAACGGAGGAACGAACCGAAAAAGCGAGCGCAACGTGCCACTTCTAGACACGACTGAACAACTGAGTCACTGCGAACACGCCGACAATCCAGCGGATCCCAGACAGCACCCTCCCTACACGCCACAACTGAACAAAGCCCAGAGTCACTGTGAACGAACCAAACAAACAAAACCACTGACCCATCCAACTGTTGTGTTTTGTTTAAAGTCCGGTTCTGTTTATTTGTGAAAAAAGTTCAAAAATAGACCATTTAATGACGTCTTAATGCGTCTTATAATCCAGAGCGCCTAATAGCCCGAAAAATACAGTACCTAGAGTTGTGTTTTTGTTTAAATTTTGTTCTTTTTGAGTAATACTGCATATCTAGTCTCTTTAAAGAGCTTGTTCCACGTTGTGACATCATCAGGTGGTAATCCAGTCTCCTCTGTGTGCACCTTTATCAGACTCCAGACACACACACACACAAAAACAAAACCATTAAATGAAAATCAAGGGTAAGATTTTATTAAGTTAGTTTAAAAAAAGACAAAGAGTAATGCATAATATTGTACTTAGTTATAAAGTTATTGTCAGAATTGTTGTAGTTTATAATTAGAGATGTAAAAATGGTACTCGTAAGTATATAAAAATATTTCTTCTTAATTGTAATTCTTATTCACAAACACATATCTCTGTCCCAGGTGGTGAATGGTCAGCTGGTGTTCTCTGTGACCCGTGGGTCGACCCGTCCGGTGCGTCTGCGTCTGGACCAGGTCTCTGTGTCCGATGGGAAATGGCACGACCTCCAGCTGGAGCTCAGGGAGGTGCGCAGCGGCAGAGAGAACAGAGACGTGGCCACGCTCAGACTCGACTTCGGATTATACCAGGTCTGGGTTTTGCCTCGGATTTGCTTGGTTCAGTCATGGTCTAGTCCTAGTTCTAGCACAGTTCCTTTCTTTGTCCTTGTTTACTCATTTATGTTTCAGTCATGCAACTTTTCTGGTGGAAGGTCTGGTGTCACTTGTTTGTCGCCGTGGAAATTGTATTACTTGTTCCACAGTAAAGGTTCCACATTATGACATTAAACTAATTTAGCTCCATGAAGACAAATCTGTGGAGAGGAGACACCGCTCACAATAATCATGCATGTTTTTCAAGGTATTATTTAGCAACAGAACCTCAGTATGCAGGCATGATAGATATGTTTAAAGTTATACTGTGAAACATTCTGGGCAAAGCAATAGCATCTCCATGGACACAAGCAGGTGGCATACCATCACCAGAAAAGTTACATAGTGCACCTTTAACGTTTTGAAGGTTTAGTCTCTCTTGGTTTGGTCCTGATTTAACCCATTGACGCCGGATGCTGCGCAGCATCCTGTCGGTGTTGTGGGTTTTTTCGGAAGGTTCAATGCGTGTCCTTAAAAGAAGCACAGGAGATGTCCGAGAGAACAGGCCACTTTATTTCAGCATTTCCATTGAGAGATTCAAGTTGATTACCAAGTACAACTGCCACCCCGGAACGACGTCTCTGCCCAACTCAAAATCAGGGGTAGCTTTATACTACATCTTGACAAAACATTAACTTGTTGATTTAGCATATACAGCAAGAAAATGAACAATACTGCTGACCCAGTGCACCTTATCATGGGTGGGAACATGTCACGGGGTCCACATATGTCAGTTTTTCTGCTTCGTGGCATCAAAGTCAAAGTACAGAAAAACATGTTATATAGACCTATAGATAGTCATACGTGTTTTCCACCTTGTTGTCATTCCAAAGTCCATAATATTAGGTGAATTAGCATGACCAACACATAATATTTCCCACAGTGTTCCGGATTGTCTGGCGATCAGCGTAACTGGTAAAGGCGGGGCCATACCTGGAAGCATGGGGGGCGTGTCCTCCTCTCACTTCCATTCACTCCCATAGAGAGACGCAAAACTGCCAGAGCTGTACTGTCGCGTTAAACCTTCTTTATCGTGGCGTATTATTTCCCCATTGAAAAATAATCCAAATGTATAACGAACATTTTCCCATCAAGACCTGGTTTGAAGTAACAAACGTTGCTCTTTACTGCGGCGCATGAACGCGCTCAACCACTTGATCTGGTCGCTGCTCCAGACGCTCCTATAACAGGTGCCATATCGCTGTGTCGTGTAACAAATAAACATGGTCAAACACAAAAATGCTGACAGTGACAATGACAGTGAAGACATGGACAACAGTTGTGTTTGACCATGTTTATTTGTTACACGACACAGCGATATGGCACCTGTTATAGGAGCGTCTGTAGCAGCGACCAGATCAAGTGGTTGAGCGTGTTCATGCGCCGCAGTAAAGAGCAACGTTTGTTACTTCAAACCAGGTCTTGATGGGAAAATGTTCGGGATGCATTTGGATTATTTTTCAATGGGGAAATAATACGCCACGATAAAGAAGGTTTAACGCGACAGTACAGCTCTGGCAGTTTTGCGTCTCTCTATGGGAGTGAATGGAAGCGAGAGGAGGACACGCCCCCCATGCTTCCAGGTGTGGCTCCGCCTTTACCAGTTACGCTGATCGCCAGAAAATCCGGAACACCGACAGGAGACTCAGCGCTGCGCTGCGCAGCATCCGGCGTCAATGGGTTAAAGGTGGTTTGTGTAACTTTTCTGGCGGAGGGTCCGTCAAATGCTTTTCTTCTTGGAGATGTCTGGAATATTTCACAGTATGGTATTAAATCTTTTTATTTTCATGGAGACCAAATCACACCAAGGTACATGTCAAGTTTGTGGAGAAGTGACCCTGCTCACCATCAAAATGCGTGTTTTTCTAGGTATTTTTGAGCTATAAAATGGCGCTGGACACATTTTGAAAGCTCATTACGGGCGGGAGCGGGACTACACAGTGCAGGAGTGGGCGGCTGGGATGATAAACTTCAGTCCCGCAAACAAAATATGAGTGTAAACTAAAATATACAAATGATTTATGTATTCCTATCATATGTAATTTGTGCTGGATATTTTATTTGGCATTAATAAAAACATTTTAAGCAGCCTAAATTTGCGGACGTGGTCTAATCTCACGCACATTTTAGACAATTCCTTTCCGCTTTTCCGTGTTTGATAGAGCTTAAGAAAGCGAACGTCTTCATCTTGTGAGATTTGCGGGACGAAATATCGCTGAGGAGTGGGAATGAAAATTACAATTCTGTGCGGGCTGGAGCAGGACTGAAAATTCTGTCCTACGCAGACCTCTACTATAAAACCACCTGTAACTGAATAAATGTAAAGTAGAGCTGTTTAATGTCATACTGTGGAACATTCCAGGCAGAGCAGCGACATCCATAGAAACAAGTAGGTGATGGACTCAACCAGAAAGTGACATAGTGCACCTTTAATGCTGAATTTAACTTGGTTTGGTGCTAGTTTCATTACATTTCTTTCTAAGTTTAGTTGTTCTTTTTAACTGAATTGCTTTTTACTCTTTTTTTCTTTTGTCCTTTAGGGTACAGTGATTGTTGGGAACGATATAAAGGGTCTAAAAGTGAAGCACCTCCATGTGGGCGGAGTCTTGGGGTCTGGTGAAGTCACCCATGGGATCAAAGGATGCATCCAGGTGAGTATTGTTACAGTAATAGCCGTGTATAGCTCCAATCATGCAGTATTTTAACCCTTACCTCCCTCTCCTCCGTCAGGGCGTTCGAATGGGAGTCCGCCCAGACCCCCCCGCCCTGCCCAAACCCTCGCGCTCGGTGAAGGTGGAGTCCGGCTGCACCGTGGGGAACCCCTGCGTCTCCTCCCCTTGCCCCGCCCACTCACGCTGCAACGACCAATGGGAGAAGTACACCTGCGACTGTGATCCAGGTACGTTTGTTTCGTCTCAAGGACTTTTTCCTGTAAAAGACGGTAACTGCTGCGGATATGAATAAACAAACTGGAATCGTTTAGAGATGTTTTTTCAGTTTTGGTCTCGTGTTGTTAAGGTCAAGGTTTTGTATTTGCGATTTGAACATGCGAGAAAAACAACATCATAGAACCAATTTTTTCCTCAAGGACCACTGATGTTTTAGATCATCACTGTGCACTGCCAGAATCTTACTTTCATCAGTGTTTTATAACTGACCTAGCCCTCGATTTGTTCTGATTTAATTCATGTCTTTCTTCTGGCAGTGTTACTAGTTTGGATAAGCCCACTTGTATGTTTTTTTGGTTGTTTTGTTGTTGTTGTTTTTTTACATCCTGAATTTCGTTATATGCTAATTAAGCCAAAAAATCCTTAATTGTTAAAGAGTGGACTGACAGAAGAAGTGCTGCCACTATACTAAAATTTCAAACTCTATTTCGATACTAAGGAATAGACTCGATACTCAGTTCCGATTACGATGCCACAGTGATCACAAAAAACACCTAAAATGCTCTGTTCCACCTTGTGATGTCTTGTAGTGGCTTACACAATAAAAGGTAGTTATTAAATTAAACACAAGCAAATCCAGGGCTGAAATGATACAAACGATTCTAGTGAAGATGTTTGGCAGTGGTCCCCAACAATTTTTTGCGCCAAGAACAGATTTTATATCAGAAAATATTTCGCGGACCAGAGGGGGGTGGAGGGGTTGGGAGGAGGCGGTGCACGTGGCGTGGTTTAGTCCTGGCTGAATCCTGTTTTAGTCCTGGTGTTAGACCTGTTTTTTAGACCTGTTTTAGACCTGGTTTAGTCCTGTTTAGGTCTGGTATGGGAGGGAGATGGTCCACCCGACGTACAGGAGGGGGAACGGTCCGTGCAGTGTAGGGGAGGGGGGGACGATCCACACGGCGTAAAAGCGGGGGGGGGTGATCCATGTGGTGTACAAGGAGGGGTGGACGATCCAGGCGGCGTACGGGAGGGGGGGACGATCCACGGCGTACAGGAGGGGGGACGATCCACGTGGCGTACGGGAGGGGTGGACGATCCACGCGACGTACAGGGGGGGGGACGGTCCACACAGCGTACGGGAGGGGGGGACGATCCACGCGGCATACAGGAGGGGGGACAATCCACACGGCGTACAGGAGGGGGAACGATCCATGTGGCGTACAAGGAGTGGAGGGCGATTCACGCGGTGTACAAGGAGGGGTGACGATCCACACGGTGTACGGGAGGGGGGGACGATCCACGCGGTGTACAGGAGGGGGGATGATCCACGCGGCGTACGGGAGGGGTGGAGGATCCACACGGCGTACAGGAGGGGGGACGATCCATACGGCGTACGGGGGGGGATAATCCTTGCAGCGTACGGGAGGGGTGGAGGATCCACACGGCGTACAGGAGGGGGGACGATCCACGCGGGGCACGGGAGGTGGGGGGCGATCCACGCGACGTACAGGAGGGGGGGACGATCTACACGGCTACAAGGAGAGGGGGGTTCGCACTTTCGCGGCCTGGTGCCAAACGACCCACGGCCCAGTATCGGTCCCCGGCCCAGAGGTTGGGGACCCCTGGTGTATGGAGTTTAAAAATACAATGGAGCACTTCCTGACTTCCTGTATCACCACATGACATCTCCAGGTGGAACGGAATGTTTTCAGTTTGAGACAAGAACTAAATACTGTATGCAGCGTTTGTGTGTTAAACATGTGTGAATGAAACAAAACACAAGTCCAGGTCTGTGATGAGGGAACATTATAACATAGAACAGGAAATAGCATAAAATGGGCTCTTTCAGTCTTATTTCCCCATTTTGATTCAACTTTTAGTCCTGAATTAACCTTGTTTTAGTCTTTCTCCATCCTGTTTTTCCTCTTTTGTCTTTTGTGCTAATGCTCATTTAAAAGCATGAGTGCAGTTCTAATTCTTTTCTTTGGAGGTAGTGGGCAAGTTCATCGGGGTTGATTTGTGTAGCCTGGTTGCTGTATCTGGGTTAAACAGATATTTGCCTGCGTATAATGAGCAGCATGGGAGCAGCGGGAGGAGATCAGCAGCAGGGAACGAGCTAGAATAATGAGTACGACTTAATGTGAAAGAACAGAGTCACCAGAGCAACCAAGGAAGGACAAGATGGGCAAGGAGGAGAGGAGATAAACAAGAGAGGAAACTAATGTGGAAAGACTAAATAAGACTTACTCAACAGACTCATTCATAGTCTAATTTTCTCCCATATAGACTAAAAAATAATTAACTGAAATAAAATGTATTGATACTTTGCAGCTGATGTACTCAACATTCCCTTGGGGTGTGATGCTTACTAGAGGCATGCTCTGTCTGACGCTTTGTTAGACTTTAATCTGAGTTTTGCTAAAGAACTGAATTATTTGGAGCTACAACAGGTGATTTGTGCTTTTAAACAAGCCCCTCTTAGGTTACGTTTACAGTGAAACGTATCACTGTATCACCGTATCGGAAACGATTTGCGTCCAGACACGTCGTTTCTGTGGCCGTTCCCTATCCACACAGTAATGCGAGACCGTCTGAAACGCTAGTCACATGACTAGACTGGCATCACGTCGTCACGATGTCACGTGGACGGTAAAAACAAGGAAGTGGAGCACCGTGTCTGAAGCTGCAGCAGCCGACATTGAGCTGAGGAACATGGCAAACATGAAAGTAGTTAGTTCTAGCTCCGCTGTTTCCCGTTTGTCTATGGTTTGTTTAAACTGTTTTCTGCAATAGCGTCACATGACCGATGTCACAAACCCAGCAAATCAGGAAGACACATGTCACAGTGAGTGTATCAACATTTTCAGGCATCCACACAGTGCTGGATCAGATCCACACTCAGATGTATTCGTGGGAGCTGGCGGCACCAGATCTTTCTATCTCTGGAACTGTTTTCCATTGGATTTGTGTGGACAAACACTGCATCCACAACGAAAATGACTCGAATACGTTCTAGTCCACACTAGTACTGCCTTAAAGGTTGTATAGAGGATTTTTTTAAGGGAAGAGAACTACAGTGACAGTTCTTTTTCAAATGTTCCTCCACCACAGCTCCCTCAGTAGAAACATCTCCTCCCGCCTCCTTACTCTAGAAATCACACATTTACAGCCAGTGGGCGTTCGGAATTACAGTCGAAGTGACCGGTCTAGAAACAATTTAGCGACCGTCATCTACTTGAGTCGCGCCATCGCTGGAAGGGATCTCCAAGAATCACTCAGGACAAACTGAGGTGATTCTTGGAGATCCCTTTGCTCCTTTTCCTCTTCTCTTCTTCTTTCAGCGATCTCGAAAACTGACTTTCTTTTCGCGGCGAACTGGTCGTGGATTCTCATCCGCCGTCGCAACAAACTTTGTGTGAATTGCGATGAAGCTACAGTTTGAAAAAGTCTCTAAGAACCGCCGCATAAACCACGTAATCCCAGCGTGCCGCCGAGTCAGTTACACGAGAAATGTAGGGAATTTGATTGACGACCTAACAGCCAATAGAAAATGAGGTAGCCTTGTTTTCTATTGGCTGATGTTTATCTGGCCTCACTACATCCACATTTGATAGATTTTCATTCTTTTTTTTTTTTTGGTCATATAATTACAAGGCTGCTGCGTCTCTGTAATGTTATTTTAACCAATCATTGACAATCTGAAACAAAACAAAAATCCTCCATACAACCTTTAAATAACATTAAAGTCCCAAGCTAGAACAGTTTTTTTTTTAGTTGCTCTCACCATTTGTATAAAATCAAACAAACACCTAAATAGGACCGTGAACGCTCTTCGCTTGTACTGAACACAGGCTCCTGAAAATGTGTTTTTGTGGTTTAATGTGGTTTAAATCCATTTTATATATTCGTTGTGTCATCATGGTAACTGCTGAACATTTGGCCATACATATACTAGTACATGTAAAACACCCCCAGTGCGATGTCACTGCAAAGTGTCAATACTTTTTGCTATTCATATTAACAAAAATATTAAAAAGAACTAAAATCCATTGAATAACAGTGTTCAGATGGGCGTCACCATAAAACATGTATATTGTAATAGACTCAAATTTGTGCTAGAAGTGGTGTAGTGTGTTAAGATGCTGCCCATTAACGAGAGGGTGGCTGGTTCAGTCAAACTAAACTGGACTAAATCATTTTGTCCAAGGCTAAACATTGTGAAATTGGTGCATTATGCCTTCACTTACAGTTACATTTGAAGACGTGTGGCAGTGGTGTAGTGAGTTAAGCATTTGCCTATGAACCACAGATTAACTGGTTCAAGATTCACCCAAAATTCACACTTAGATGCCACACATAGGAAGAAAATTGTACTACAACCAACACTTGAAATCACAATTATTATTATTTGTGAGTAAAAGAACAGTGAGATTAGAAAGGCCCGACCAGAGAGGAGATTTTTGGATGCAATGAAATAAGACGTGATGTTATTTGAGAGAGCAGGAGGCAGAAGAGTTGAGATCAAAGTGAAGCCTGCGGTACTATTGCATATGCTCTGTAAACAGAGACTCATTAAAACTTAACTATTAGCCGGTCTAATCCAATACAAAACTCATAAGTTCCATTTTATTATTCTGTCTCATCTCATTGCCAAAAATTGATGCTGTATATTTAAAAGCAGGTTCACTGGGATTGTCTTTTTGTGTCAGTGCCATAAAGTAGTTTCAGTATTATCGCAATATTTCTCTGTATCTTTATATCAGGCTTCAAACTCTGTTATCCTGACAGGCGTATTTATATCTTACTTCATTTTATTCGCCTCATATGACATAATACCAGCGTCTGCTAATGTGACGTTGCTATAAACATGCTTGATTATGTGACAGTCGCCTGGGGCTCATTTTACGCTTTAATAAGATGAATTACAGTAAGTATGTTTTACACACTCAAAACAACACATGTGAAGCCATATGTTCTACTGTACTACTGCTGGTACATCCACACATTTCAC